GAAATTTGTGATGAAAACAGAATTTATATCTCCAAGTTGAATCTCGGTTCTCTACTTTTTTACTGTATTGTCTATATTCTATCTTCACCCACGACACTGGCTTACTAACTTTATGAGTTCCTTCCTCTACAATACGATCACTCTGCCTTTGCCTCTCCGAGATCAAACTGTCCCAATTTCTGCTGGTGGCTCATGCCTGTAATCCTAGATACTCAGGAGGTTGAGATCTGAGGATTGAGGTTCAAAGCCAGCCCAGGGAAGGAACTCCATGAGACTCTTATCTCCAAGTAATCCACCAGAAAACCGGAAGTGGCTCTGTGGCTCAAGTGGTAGAGTGCTTGCCTTGAGCTGAAGAGCTGAAGGGCAGCACCCAGGCCCAGAGTTCAAAAGTCCAAGACATATACACAAAAAAAGGTGTGTGTGGGGGGAGATTTCTACAGTTGGATTACCTCCAGCATTCCTTTTCCCCCAAGTTTCCCTCACAGCCTGTCACTATCTTGCACAGCTCTATTACATTTGCATCCTTTTATAGCACATTTACCACCCACAACCCCTGAATAAAAAGCATCAGGGGCTCTCTACTACCTAGTTATGCTACCTAGTCTCATCCCCATAGTGCAATGCAGATAACAGAGAACGCAAAATGATCTCAAAACAGCAGCCAGAATCCTTCCCAATATCGATTCAGGAGCCAGTTCTGATAGGTAGAAACTGATATTCGAGAGAAACACATTTGTTCTCTGGAAATAAAATATGAAGTCTAAACTCCTTGGATGGGTATTAAAATTCTAGAATGACTCCTATTATTCTTGCAATCTTTCTTTCTCTCTCTCTCTCTCTCTCTCTCTCTCTCTCTCTCTCTCTCTCTCTCTCTCTCTCTCTGTAGTATCTTGTGGATCTATAGGAAGAAAAATACGAAAGTATTGAGCTATAAGAAAAAGAAAAAAGAAACTTGCTAGGTATCAGGAGAATATTAGGTTTAGCTGAGCCCACCCTTCTGGGACTTCTGATTCCAGGGGATCTCTAAACCTTTAATTGTCTTTGAGTTGTTTATAACTGAGTTGCAGACCATGGCAGTACAAACCATTCTTGTTCACAGACAATACATTTTGTCTAGTGAGTTCCAACTGATTTTCTTTCCAATTACAACTTTACCCATATTTTAAATTCATTTCATTCTCTTTTAGTGCCTATGTCTGTTTTGTTCTTTGAATGTCACCTTAAGTTACTTGTAATAATCCTTATTCCTTCAATTACTCAGTAAAATAAACATATCTGTCAAAAGTTCATTTTATAATTAAATAAGAATTACAATTTTAATTGTTTAGAAAACATTTTTGGGGCTGGGAAGGTGGCTCAGTGGTAGAAGGCTTGCCTTGCATGCATGAAGCCCTGTGTTCCATTCCTCAGCACCATATAAGCAAAAAAGGCCAGAAGTGGCTCTCTAGCTCAAGTGGTAGAGCTCTAGCCTTCAGCTAAAGAGCTGAGGGACAGCACCCAGGCCCAGAGTTCAGCCCCCACAACCGACTACCCCCCCCAAAAAAAAGAAAACATTTTTGTAACAAACCCTTTATTGTCTTTTTTACTACATGCCAAATATGGAATGCCTTCCCTGGCTCTTTCTCCTAACATTACTGATGGTTCATATTACTGAGATAAATCTAAAGTACTCATTGTGTCTTCAAACTACAAAATCCATGATTTTCATGATGAACCCAGGCCATAAATTACGCTTTAATTTATTTTAGTTATCATCTTTTCTTTAAAATAGCTTCTGAAACACATATCTACCCCCCCTCTTGATTCATATGCTGTATGTATTGCAATTTTATCTTACATAAGACTCATTTATTTATAGGTAAATTTGCATCCAAGTTTCTTGAAGACATTGATCATTGTGTCTGCATAAGATTCCTGGATTACTGGGGACCATATACAGTGCTCCGTAAATATCCTTGCCTTGTCCTACCCAGTGCCTATGAGCTGGGGTTCTCAGTGCAGACCTCCCTCTGGAAAAAAAAAATCACTTAACTTCACTTGGGGAATTAATCCATTATATTTTGACAGAAGGTGCATCTTTCTCAGGAAAATTCTTGCTGGACTTTTATAAAGATGGTCAGAGCTTCTGTGAAACACCAAATAAAATACAACACTGCCAGAAAACACCAGGAACTGAAAAATAAAACTTAATGTACTTCTGGGAAATCTTTCCCCTTTACTACTGTACCAAAGTGTCTCTAAGTATGTGGCAAGGCACAGTCTTACGCAGTCTTCCAAGGTCTACAATTAAGCAAGAATTTTTGACAGAGCCTGGGGATTCATTTACATCTAAAGTGTAATTTGTAATCCAGTAAAGTCACCTGATAGTGAAGGAGAGAAAAAAAAATTTGAACTAAAGGAGGAAAAATAGACACATATTTGGGACCTGACCATTATGATAATAATATTCCAAATACTGTATCTGAACTCTTAACAGCAATCTGTGGTAAATATTTCTAAGAGATCAAAGAAATTATGTACTCGTGCTGACTCACATCACTAATGCGTACAACCTACCAGCAATATCTAATGTGCTTTTTAATACCAACTCTACACAATGTGTATCACCGATATATATCCTGCCATGATTTGAAGTCTGAGTGATGAGAGAATTATAAATGATCTTGGGATTGCTGTTAGCATATTTGATTTTATGAACTATAAAATACTTTGCCAGTTGAATAGCTTCCCAAGTGAATTGAATTCTGGTTCTTATAATGCTATATTAAGCCAAAGGACTTCATATTTGAGTACTAACATGATTGCTGAGTATTTAATTTTTATGATTTTACTTATGATAATTATTTAAATTAAAACTGTCTTGCAGAAACTGCTATTATAAAAACCTAGTCCATTTAACCAATTTTATTTTTCTCGTGATAATTTTTAATTTTTGCCTTCATGTCTAGAAGATGAACTAGACTAAGCATTTCCCATTCTCAAGAATAGTACTTTGTCAGTCTAATAGTTAGATACTTTTTTTAAAAGCCTTAAAATACAAATAAACATTAAGGATTTTTGGTAGATATGATTTTTAGTTATGGATCTCATACCGGCATAATTCAAATAAATAAGAAAAAATCATATAAGAAAAAGCCAATACTTAGTCCTAAAAATTTTCCCATATGAAAATAACATTCAATACAAACTAAATCCTGATGGAAAGACAGCATTCCTAGTAGTAAATAAAATATATGTGGCGGAGCACAACACTTTTAATTCACCAACAATATCATCATATTGAAAATGAGAATTTCAGTATATTTTTCAAATGGTCCAGTAAGCCCAAGGCAAGAGATATTTAACTGCTGGTTAATGTTCTTGTCTGGAGAATGTCAATCAAAATCATCTTCTTATACTTTACTAACATGTATCCTATTAGCATCTTGCCATACCTCACATTTCTAAAGCAAATACTTTATATGGTAACTTTGTTGCTTAAAGGATTCTTTTTTCTTGCTTATTAAGAACATACTTGCAGCTGGGTGCCAATGGATCAATCCTGTAATCCTAGATATTCAAGAAGCTAAGAACTAAGGATTGTGGTTTGATCTTCAGAAAGACCAGAAGACTTTTATCTCCAATTGACCACCAAAAAGCCAGAAGTAGAGCTTTGGCTGTAGGAGCAAAAAAGCTAGAGGACAGTGCCCAAGCACTGAATTCAAGCCCCAGTACTGTCACAAAACAAACAAAAAAGTTAAACTTGATATGACCAGGGAGAGAATGGGCAAGGTCAAAGGGAAGAAAGAATGATGGAAAGGGTGGTTCTGATCAAGACACACTATAGAAATAAACAGACATGTTAGATGGTAATCTCCTCATCCCCTTATGCAATCTTTTGTAGATAAAAAATTTTAATATAAAAAGTTACTACTACTATACATCTTATTTTATAAAAACTTTACTACTACTACTACTACTACTACTACTACTACTACTACTACTCTACTACATCCTATTTTACTTATTTTCTAAAGACTATTTTTGGTGACTTTTTGGGGCTCAAATCCAAGGCTTTCCCCATGATAGGCAAGTACTCTGCCATTGATAAATATCTATAGCCCTTAAAACATTTTTAAATTAAAACATATAGATAACCAGTATTAACATCACACTTCTGTATGTCTTCAGTATTGTTTTCATATAACAAAGCAATCTTTACCTTTTGAAAATCCTTTCAGTGCTGTAAGGTATTGTATCATGAGGTAGTACTATAATTAATTTTCATGTTTTTCCCATTCACACGATTATTAATGTAAAAGTGTTTACAAATATAAACAGCCATATTTTATAAAGCTTGAAAAAGAGAAAAACAATGAAATCACAATCTATAATTCTTTAAAAGTCACTATTGTGAATTTTTTACATATATATATATAAGACTAAAGCATACTGAGTTATTTTTATTTTGCATTATAGTGTAAGTTTTTTCTCTAACCATTGTGGCATGTTGGGCCAAACCTATTACTTCATTACCAAACAAGAAGCTGGCTTCTATTTCTAAGTTTAAAAATAAATAGGGAAAGCATGCTGTTATTATATCTATGCTGTAAAAATTGTTTCCTAATACTAGATTCACCCAAGATTATCCACAGGTAGGCTTTATCAGTTTTACCTGTCCCTTACCAATCTAACACAGTGATTATGAATCATAGAAACACATACACAAAGGACGGATTCCATTTAAACAAACTCTTTTCCATAAACTAGTGCTATTGACCCATCTGTCTTGAAAGAGCAATGTCCACTTGAATATGCTCACATTTTTATTTTTAAACTTTTCGTTCAAAAAAAAGTCTATATCCACATACCTTTTAGATATAGCTTAGCTCATTTCCCCCTTTAAGTCTGAGATGTTGCTATAGAAATGTTTTCTGGAACTGCTTCCTTGGAGGGCTCTGAAATCCACATCAGGAGACAGCAGTGATTCTGATACAAAAAAAGAAAAGGCCCCAACTTACCGTTTCCAATGCATTTACACGGTCCTGAAAATAAAGCATAATATAGAATTATAAAACTATAGCTACAAAATCATTACAAGTTTACTTAGTTTAAAACTTTTCTATTTCTCCTCTATTATCAATAATTTATTTTCAAAATGTAAAACATCCAACCTCAAACTCAGAATGATCTCTTCAACAGAAAAAAAAGGAAAAAAAAAAGACAATAACTGCTAAAATAACCACTAAAGCCTTAAAAAATATTTGATCTAGTTGTGACACTACAGGGTTTAAATTAATAGTAATTATAAATTCAGGCACAGTTACTGAAAGAAATAGTTCTTATCCTTTGTGTATTAGAATACTTAGCTATATAAGGATATATTAATATTAAATTAGTGTGAATATATAAATCACAAATAAATGACAGCGGTGACATAAAAAAAAAGCTACCACACACACATTAGCTCTCATTAGCTAAATCAAAATATGATCTCACAGGAAGATACAGTTCAGGTATGAGAATAACTTCAACTATTAAAATCAGTAAGCAGGGCTGGGAAGGTGGCGCAGTGGTAGAGCGCTTGCCTTGCATGCATGAGGCCCTGGGTTCGATTCCTCAGCACCACATAAGCAAAAAGAAAAAAGCCGGAAGTGGGGCTGTGGCTCAGGTAGTAGAGTGCTAGCCTTGAGCTGAAGAGCTGAGGGACAGCACCCAGGCCCAGAGTTCAGGCCCCACAACCGGACCCAAAAAAAAAAAAATAGAGTGTTTAAAATCAGTAAGCAAATTGTATTAAGAACACTTTTTTTGGCTCAAGGCTAGCACTCTACAACTTAACCCACACCTTCATTTTCAGCACTTTTCTAGTTAATTAGATAAGAGTCTCTCAGGTTTATCTGCCCAGGCTGGCTTTGAACCATGATCCTCAGATCTCAGCCTCCTGAGTAGCTAGGATCACAGATGTGAGCCACCGGTCTTGCCCTTTCAAAAGATTTGTCTTCAAGTTCCACCTGTAGGTTCACCCTCTCTCGTATTCTCCTCTATTTCCAAGCCTAAAGCCTGAAAAGAAAAGCATTGTTAGGACTTTGAAAGAGGGATTAAGAGGTAGGGGGGTGGGTAGGGGAAAAAAAAAAAAAAAAACTTCTAAAGAAACCCTCTTGTGATAATGGTGCTTTTTTTGTATTTATTATTTATTTTTAAACTTTTTGTTGTTATTATTGTTATTATTATTATGCAATGATGTACAGGGTGATCACGCAATTTAGAAAAACCAGTGGGTCCTATTTTCAGTCATGGACTTTCAGAGAAACATGAACACTGAACACAACACACATACAACATTTTGTGTATACTAAGGGAAATAACCTACCTTTCAGCTGCCAAACCCTTTTACTCCAAATAAAAACATTTAAAACAATAAGTAAGTCCATTATACAAATAAATTACTTTATTAAGCCAATCTATTTTTGCTTTTTACAATGTTTCTAGAACACAAACAGGAAAGAAATAATTATAACTCTTAATAGTCCAGGGCAAAAGTAAAAATATGAAACCTGAAGTAGGGATGGAAAGCTTTAAAAAAAAATCAAAGCAAGAATTTCTTAACTACTTTGAAGAAGAGGGTTTTTTGGGGCTTTTTGGTTGGGGGAGGAAGGGACCTGTAGCATTGCATTATTTTGTACGATCAGGTAGAAAAGATCAACTTTAAGAAACATATAATGGCAAAAATAATATTAATGTCACTGCACATAGTCACTGAATAGTCACCAAGTTAAATGCTCAGTGTTAAATGGATATTTTTATCAGTGAGTGAGTGTCACATGATGTTTCAATTTGTTCTGGGCTTGAAAGATCAGGTAGAAGAAGTGTTTCTGGGGGAATCCTATAGCAGTGCTTTTATGATGAGATTAGCACCCTGCCAAGAACAAGAAACATTTGTTTGCTGCTTGGTCATGATGTCATATACATTAGAATTTAGGAAAGAACCAAGGCAAATTCATTAGCATCACCAGAAATGGGCAAATGTGTCATAGGATGTTAGGAAATGAGCATGAAATGGATCTTTGATATCTGAATCCTTGATCATTAAGAGTTTACTTGATTCAGTTGAACCAATCAATTAGATATTGATTTAGCCATCACAGAGTAATCTAAGAGAAGACTTAGAAGCTTGTAAGTCTAAATAATCAAGATTCTGCCTCTGGTAAGTATAACAGAACAAGTTTACTGACATTAACTCATCATGGTCCAAGAAAGCTTTAAATGTCATTAGCATATGAAAAAGCTCAATACTGACATAAAATACGTAACTGAAATATCACCTACAGGTCTAATTTTGGAAACGTGCCTGTGACTGAGGATCATGATAGACATATAATCGGAAAAGAAAGAAAATCATAGTGAGGACTTCTTTCCGTAATGGTTTAAAAGCACCACACCTCTCTGTGGAAGAAAAAGGGACTCCGAAGACCACTGCATGAAGCTCCTCCTGTCAGAGTCACCTCACTAATCCACATTCAACCAGCTACTTTCTATACAAAGAATATAGAATACATCTCAAGAGAGGTATGGGTCTTTTTAGTTCTAAGCACTTCCCATAGCAAAGCATTCATTGCAAAACATTCCATTGGACAATACCAGTTTTTTAAAATAATTTTTAAAAGTAGAAAATATTTCAAATGTATTCTTTCCCACACTTCAAGAATGTAAAAAAGAAAAGAACAATGTCTTCATTGACTATAGCCAAAAAAATCATTTCACATAGTGATGTAAGTAAGTTCGAATAAAACAAAGAAATAAAAATCACAACTGTTGATGTAGCAACAGCTAAAAAAACAAACACCTTTAATATAATATATATATAATATATATATAACCAATGCAATGGCCTGTAATGAAATTCCATGCTAGCTATTAATAGTCAAGACAGTGTAACTCTGAACTTCAGAAGACTTTAGAATGGGCAGGATTAGAGGAAATGTCACTGTTATGTCAATTATCCACAATTTTGCCCACAATATTTGGGACCAATATTTGTTAACTCATTTCACTACCTATTTTTTGTGCATTTATTCTAATAGCTTACTTCAGGGTTCAAAACAACAAAAAGTCTGGAAAACTAAGACCACCACAACAAACAAGACACTAAGCATTTATCTAAACAGCTGTCAGTAAAGCTTCACAACATTTTGACTTTCCAAGCAAAGCCCACATGTGCTACATCATGACCATGTCCTACACAAAATGCATCCTACAACATTCTTGATCACCTTTTACTTAGTGAGTAGCAAATCTCTGAAGCAGAGGCAGAAACAGAGTTTAAAAACAGACTCGCCATGTTTTTTTCTACTTCTCTAGCATCTTTTCTTAGATATTACACTGCCACCATAAAGAAGTAAAGGCAGTTGCTGTGCAGCTTTCTTCTGCCTCATTCTCAGGTTGGCATTTTTTGGTTTCTGGTCCTGTTTGCTATGAGGTGATAGCTGACTGTTACATTTTGGTATGAGACTATTCAGGAAAGACTAATATATGAAAATGGGATGTACTTTGGCATCTACTTGAGGGAAATACAGAAAGAGCTGCATGCAGAGTTGAGAATGGGGAATGGAAGGTGCAATGGAGGAGCAGGACTAAGAGAAAGATATGGAAATTGGATATTAGTATTGCTCTCAAATTCCAAATGGAAAAAGTGCTGCCTACGAGAAAAGGTAACTGTTCTGTTTCAAGTTCCTACAAATATTTCCACGGAGTTGTCTGAAATAGACACTTTAAAAAAGAAAAACATCAGACTTATCCTTTATATTCCAAAACATAAAAAGTAGATTTTTTTCTTTAAAAATGAGAGATAATTTCAAGATTCTTCTATTAAAGCATAATGTGACTAGCATGTACACAGAATGTGACTAGAAAGAAAAGAAAGGGCACACACAGGATTATCTTGTGTCAGGACTGCCAGAGTCTACAGTGAAAGGTATCCTAAGCAAGAGTCTACAGTGAAAGGTATCCTGAGCAAGAGTCTACAGTGAAAGGTATCCTGAGCAAGAGTCTACAGTGAAAGGTATCCTAAGCAAGCGGTAACAGAGGCATATGCTCAGGGTGTGACATCGGAGCTGGAACACAATGAAAAATTATATACAGATAAAATAAAAACTCCGTAGTGATTAGGAGCAATGCAAATGATGACCAATGTAATTTCCAAGACTTTCCTCAAAAGAACATGTAAGCATCAAATAGAGGAATAGAGGAAGAAAGCCAGCAACTCAGAAACCATTATCCCATCAATTTGTCCCCAAAGATTTACACTTGAAAAACCAAAGCCCATGTTCCCAGGGTGTGAGATTATTTATACACCAGCAAAATAGGCTCTGACCTCTTAAGCCGATAATAGTGCAATGGTGACTATGACATAACTTATGAGCAGGTCTGTGTCGTGTGCACACTGTGGAAAACAAGAGGTTCTGCTTTCATTGTTCAGATATAGGATCTGAAAGCCATGAGGTCTACACTCTCTGGGGTAGACACTGCCTCTGATTGCCTCAAGGGTGAACGTCTCTCCTGTGCTTCTTAGTAAAGAGATATAACCACAGAATCCTTGGAAATCTAGCTCCTTTCTCCTGCAAATGCATGTTACAGAACTGACTCATCAAATGCTAAGAGCACACAGTCTACCTTGGGGATTAAACTGCTTACCTTTAGTAAATTCCAACAATCCTCATTCAGAGCCATTTATTCCCCTCTCATGAAGGATGAAAGCAGGAGGAATGTTATAGTAGACACTGGCTGATCTCACCCTTCATTCCCATATACTTTCTATGTGCTTCAGTGATATATTTCTCAGCTTCAGTGCACCTGTGGTGCTGCTAAGGATAATCAAACACTAAGTTGAAAGTTTCAGAATAATCTATTTTGCAAACCTGGGTTAGGTTTCCATGCATTCTAAATTAAAATTGTACTATTAAGATCCATTCACTAATATAATACATAGGATGAAGGGAAAAGTAACTGAAGAATTTCAAACTAACCTCAGATTACCAGCTCTCTAATTGGCAGTGTGAAACAATTTTTTTATCTGAATAAATTGAGGAAAAACACAATTTAGATTGACTTCTAAAATGCATACCTGAAGGCTGGCTTATCCTGTATATCCTACAATAAAACAGATGTATTTTCACTATTCCATTCCAAATATCCTACATATTCCTACCTATGAAATACTTAACTGCTTTTTCTTCAAAATGAACTTCATTCTGATTTTTCACTGCAGTCTGACTACCGTCTTCCCAGGGTGGAAGTTTATACAGTAGATTCGGCTGTTTAAGAGAGATGTAAGTTATGAAAAGAGTTGGAAAGTTCTAATATCTTAAAGTTATTGGAAGCACTCAAAACAGTAATAGCTATTAAAGGAACACTAATAAAACCAAAATAACTTCAAACTAATTTTTAAATTTCTGACTTTAGAGAAAATAATACTATACAGCACTTTTAAAATGCCCCTCATTTAAGAAATCATTTCTTGAAACTGAAAACATTTTGCTCTTCAGATAACTTGTGAGTCTAAGGTATCCCCAATTGGCTTGCTCTTCAAAATCATCCTCCAAGTAACTCACCTTAAATCCCAAAGTCTAAGAAGTGAGTGAATAAACAATATGGTAGCTTATTAATAGGTATACATGAGCAGCTTTAACCAGCAAAGAAAAATTCTCAGCAAGCACAAGTTTAGCCATGGATAATGGAGCATCAGCTGAGGCCATGTTATTGGAGACCAGGAAGATCTGGTGACTCAAAATTATACTTTCCTTCCATCAGCCAAATTATTCTACATTCAACCAACAGAAATTTATTCTTTGTAGAAAAACTCAAAAATTTATTCTTGGACTCCTCCTATGCCAGTTCATCTTTTAAAAGGCAAACGTTTTTTGAAATGATTATCATTAAATAGTTTCAGGAGTCAGCAAAGTGAGGAACTCCAGCCAGACTGTTTGTACAAGGACCATGAGTTTGAAATGGTCTTTGTATTACGATATTGAACAAAATCAAACTAACACTAATATTTCATGATGTGAAAATTGTATGAAATCCAAACTTCAATATGCATAAATAAAGCTTTATTGGAACCCAACCTGATCATTTGCTTACATATATATATATATATTTGCTTATATATATATATATATATAGTCTGTGGCTGCTTAATAATTCCCAGAGGCAATTTGTTGCAAGAGAACAAAACATGCAAAACTGATCACAGAATTCGATCACTTTATAGGAAATGCAGGGACTTCTAAGTTATAAGAATCTGTTAAAGAATTACTGCCCACCTCACATGCTATGGAAAAATCTTGTAGTTTTCTGCACAGGACAAGATTTGGTGAAACATGAAAGAGAGAGACAAGAGAGAGAGAAATAGAAGATAGGAAAAAGAAAAGAGAGAGGGAGGAAGCGAAGAGAGGGAGAGAGAATAAGAATATATTTTTACCCAACTTTTAAATGTTGAAATAATTTAAAAGTGCATATATATGAATAAATACAAATGCCCAGAAACCAAACTACTCATCAGTCTACATAAGCTGCTCATTTTGGTCCTGTATTTCTTTCACCAACTTTTGTTATCTTCCTTCCAAATTCTTTCCCTCCTTCTTTGATCCTTTTCTTTCTCCCTCCCTCCTTTCCATACATCTAATTAGTCCATTCATTCACATTCATGGTGGCAGGCTCTGGGTCTGACTTTAGACAATGTCAAACCTGCTTAGATATAAATGAAGAATAGACTCAAGGACTGTGATCGGGGTGTGCTGATTCTTACAATGAAATTAAAAGGGAACATTGCCTTGTGATAGCCCTGGGGAAACACAGCTGATGGAAAAAACCACATGCTCATGGTGAAGTTATATCGACAAATAGTTAAATTTTTTTATTATTATCATCCAGGCTATTTTGTGTGCTGCATGTTTCAGGTTAAGGGAGATGTTACAGGTTAAGGGAGATGCTGGAAAAATGTTCCAAAACCTCTTTCCTTCCAGAATCTTGTTTTTAACAGATATCAAGTCACAGTACAATAACACATATGCTTTATCACAATAAACTTGCATGTTCAAATAAACAATGCTATTTGCACACAGTTTTATATTTATTTCATCACATAACACAAAGGATTGTATTTCTGCCATAGGTGTTTCTTTGTAAGTTGCAACTTCTTACTTTTACTGAGTCTAACTCCAGGCCAACTAAGCCCAGGTATTGGACAGCACAGGGAAATGACAGAAGAAAGGATGAGAAAAAGTAAACTGCAGTACTGAGAAATTAAATGACACTTCTAGGTTGCTGCCCCTCCCCTACTCTGCAGTGTTTTTGGATCTGTCTCCAGGGGGTTCTACTCACCAATGAGCCTATAGATGGCTTATCTTCACTATCACATATTTATTCGTTCTTTTCTAACAGTGAAAACAAGACTGTGGACTTCTATTACATCCAGAATGTTGTTAAGACACTGAATCTTTTGTAGGTAATATTTTCCATTTCATTTCATGAGCAAATTCAGAAATCTTAACAGATACAGTGTTATTTTCTAGCACACTAATAAGACTTTACACTTTAAAAACACAAATCCAATGTAGAATAGTACATATAAAAACAGAGTCTCTGCAAAAGAGAACACTTGAGGGCTAATTTTTAAAAACCAAAATAATCACTGATTAGCATAAGAGGAAATGCTTATTAGTCATTTTTCCAGTGCATTTTAGTTTTATCACTTTTTGCACAATTTAAAATTTATGGAAGCCTTCTAATGTTGCCTTTATTTTTTTGCCAGAATATTCTGAAGTTGGTTTAAAACTGAAATTGAAGAAGCCTGAGGAGGGCTTTAATAACAACTTTCTTCAGTCTGTTTATGTAAAACATGATGAATAAGCAAAAAGAAAAGGTGCAGAATGGAAAAAGAAAAACGATCCCTTCTCCTTCCTAGAAGGGTTGAGGTTGCTGGATTGTTCCGAATTTTGCTAGGAATTAAAATCTTCCTCACATGCTCATAGCCAAATATACGTGACATTGTCCTAGATTTTGTATATATGCAAATTGGGGGTCTGAGGATTTGTAAATTGTTTCGAAGTTATAAGGCAGAAAGAAGATTCAATAATACCAAGTTTCTATTAGTCTGTCCCATTCAATGTGTTCTAAAAATTATTCCTTAGTTTTTTTGCTTGTTGAGTGTTAATACTTTAGCCATACTATATGATTAATCTGTATATTACTGAATTGCTTTCGTTAATGTGGATTATTGTCACAAAAATGGAATAATAATCAGTGGGCCACCAGTGGGTCATGCTTGTAATCCTAGCTACTCAGGAGGCTGAGATCAGAGGATACAGGCTTGACGCCAGCCTGAGAAGGAAAGTCCATGAGACTCATATCCAATTAAACCATCAAAAATCTGGAATATGTAGCCTTGAGAGAAAATGCTCAGAGACAAAATGCAAGCCCTGAGTTCAAGCGCCCCGCCCCTCCACCACCCTGGGGGAGAAGGAATAATAAGAAAATACAATAAACAAACCAAGAGGGGAAAAGGATGCAGAAATTCTATGCACCATAGCTTCTGAGGTATGTACAGCGATAAAGATTCAAACACAAGTCCTAGCCTCGTCCCATACTGGTTAAGCAAGTAATAGTCTTCTTATCTCTAAAATGAGAACAGTAGTGTCCACAGGAATGACACAGATTTGTATCATCGTGCATGACAAGAATTGCTCTGTAGCTATTAATATCATTGCCTAAGAATTCAGAGGCAACATTTTCTTCTTTTTTGATGCAAAGACCATCACATTGGGGGGTGACTTAAAACAGGATTTAACATATGTAAATTGAGACAAATTAGTGATCTCCCAGTCTGTAGAAATCATCCATAGCATTTCCTTGTAATCTGGAAATCAGTTAGAGATTGGGAATAGGGGTGAAGGAGAGACAACTCTAGAGATAAGAACAAAATATCTTTCAGTGATATTATTTGAATACTTTAAAAATCAGAGTTTGAAAAGCCAGGAGCTTAGCTACTCAGGAAGCTGAGATCTGAGGATCATGGTTCAAAGGCCAGCAGAAAAGTCTGGGAGACTCAGATCTCCAATTAACGGCCAAAAATCAGAAGTGTCATTGTAATTTAAAGTGGTGGATAAAGCTCAGGGAGAGTGCCCAGGCCCTGAATTTAAACCTTACCACAGACAAAAAAAATCAGAGATTTGTTTTGTTTTATGAAACAATGAAAGATTGTTTCAGCCAGAAAGGTATTATTGCTAAGTATATGTTTTCAAATATGTGGTACACTCTAGACATTACTTAGTATATTGATTTTCATAAGTGTCATTGTTATCAAATCCAAATTGATTTAAGGGGTTATCTTCTCAAAGCTTAAGATCGACCTAGATATGTGATGGGGGAAATATAAGTGATATATTTAAGTGACCATTTCAATTCTACAATGCAGATGAAACTGCTCTAAATTGTATAGTGACTTAACTCTGGAGACTGGGGTAAACGCTAGATTAGCACACCACTGTGAAACATCATAGTGTGCTGAGGTAGCTTTTCTTTTCTCCTAAGAAAAGCAGCTATTTCCATCATCGCCAGTGCCCAAGGTGTGTAGAGCTGGGGCTTTGACATGGCTTGGGGAGCTGTGCGGGAAGTGCTACCTTGAGAAATCAGCTGCTAAGGAGATGACGTATGAAGATGTACCAGATAATCTTCCCCTTGCGGGAACAATTGATAAAAGCTATAAAAAATATCCCAGATCATTTTCACTACCAAGATGTTTGTCAAAAGAGTAAAATTTGGGCTCCTAAAGACTAAGCTTTATCTCTGCATTTATAAATTTTCGAAGTGGTATTTGTCTTTTAAGAGGCATTTTTAGACGCTGGACTCAAGGAGAATGCTGAGTCCTGAAGACTTTTGCTTTTCATCCCACTGGATAAACAGAACCCGGCATGCTTTGAAACTTCCTAATTCTCAAAAGAAAATAGCCTAGTCAATCAGCTTCTATATATTCAGACATCAAGAATACTCTCAGGATATTTTATTTTCAATTTTATTCTGTCATAAATTTGGAATTAAAATTAAGTTGCAAATTTCAGGTAAAATAGGATGATAAAACTTAATGATCACTAACATTTCAAGAGGAATCTATTTAACTGAGTTTAGTTTCCTACTCTCCTGAGGCTTCTTTATGTCGTAAATTGAAGTATGCAAATATAAATGGCTGAGATCCTGCTTGACCCTTAAGGCAGACGGGTAATGCTTTATGTCTGCTGAGACCTCGTGCCAAATTTAA